ACAGGTGTTAACTCCTGTATACTCGACTCTCTCTCTCCCATCACTGGTCACAGACAGGTGTTAACTCCTGTATACTCGACTCTCTCTCCCATCACTGAACACAGACAGGTGTTAACTCCTATATGCTTGACTGCTCTCTCCCATCACTGATCACAGACAGGTGTTAACTCCTGTATGCTCGACTGCTCTCTCTCCCATCACTGATCACAGACAGGTGTTAACTTGTTTATCGACTTGTATTGTGACTTAATGTGTAATACAATTAGTTGTGCGTATTTTCTAAATTGCCAACTATGAACTTACGATTTGGTAAAATGTCTACTAATCTATACTTTACTGAGGGGAGTTCTGCTAGCAAATAAACAGATTTAAATCCAACTGAAAATGTTCAGTTCTTAATTTTTTTAAATAAGACAACTGCAGTGTTGGAAAAACTGACAGCAAAGCCTTTTGTTGTACCACACGTTTACCACTAGGGGGAGTTTGTTAACGCGGAGTCTGGCTGATATCGTGAAGAAAGAAGACTTTGTATTAGACTCGGAATACCTCATAACCTTGCTGGTCGTTGTTCCAAAGTAAGTAGACGTCATATAATTGTGCTTTTTTAAAATGTTAATATCAAATTAAGATTCAACAGGAAAGAAGGACCATTTCAAACACTATATTTTTGCAGACAGCGGCTAAAGAGCTATGGAACGAGAGCTGTTACAGAAGCCACACTTTCTGCTGAAAGTTTTCCTTTATAACATCGGAGTCGTTAAGCACTTACCATCCTGCTCACTTTACATCATCAGAAAGCCTCTCGTGTCTCTAAGGCGTTCAAAAACCAGGAGGCAACAGGAGAAGGGTTGGGTCCCACCCAGACAGGGTGGTGCAGTGGCTGGGTGGTCTGGACTCGTGACTGAAGGGTTGTGGGTTCGAATTTCAGGGGAAACCAGAGCAAGAATTCCACCGGAATGAAGTTGCAAAATGAAGTTGCTTTGCATAATGTGTCTGTCAAATACATTAGTGTTGAACATTTATTCCTTTCTAACAAGAAAAATGCAGAGAGCATCAACGCTATACAGACCCATGGGACCCATGCAGGCAGCTGAAATGTTTCTTTGCTCTTCTGACTGAAGGAAATGAGGAATGAATCATATTCATGGCCATGCGGGGACCACTGGGTAGCCTGTACAGTGTCAGACGTGCATGCATCTGCAGTTTTATAGACGTTTATGCCATTTCAGAGCGTAATAAATTTGTTTGAAATAACAAATAGGTTTTGTTAATCGGTTCAAGCGCCTATTGTTTTGTTAAACCATAATAATAAACAGTAGGTTCACAAACCAATTATTTTGTTTAAAGTGTTTCCAGCTACAATGTTCAGTTATATGGGTTATATGGGTGCCAGCAGCCATATCACCCTGCAGCTCACAGCTGGCAACCCACTTAAGCTCAGCAGGTGTGAGTACCTGGAGTGGATACTCCTGGGAAAAAACTAAGGTTGCTGCTGGAAGAGGTGTTAGTGGGGCCAGCAGGGGGCGCTCACTCTGCGGCCCATGTGGGTCCTAATGCCCCGGTATAGTGACGGGGACGCTATACTGTAAATAAGCGCTGTCCTTCGGATGAGACGTAAAACCGAGGTCCTGACTCTCTGCGGTCATTAAAAATCCCAGGGCGTTACTCGAAAAGAGTAGGGGTGTAACTCCGGCGTCCTGGCCAAATTTCCCATTGGCCCTTACCAATCATGGCCTCCTAATAATCCCCCTCTGTGAATTGGCTTCATTACTCTGCTCTCCTCCCCACTGATAGCTGATGTGTGGTGAGCGTTCTGGTGCACTATGGCTGCCGTCGCATCATCCAGGTGGATGCTGCACACTGGTGGTGGTGGAGGGGAGTCCCCATTACCTGTAAAGCGCTTTGAGTGGAGTGTCCAGAAATTATTATTATTATTATTATTATTATTATTATTATATTATTCCTTATGTGTCATGCAGTGCCAGGAAAGTGAAGAGATCTCTCCTTCTACAGGGTTTTTCTGGTCTCAGAGCTAAAGACCTGCAGATCCAGATAAGCGTTTATCGTGCTTTTTAATTTCAGCTTGTCTATTAGCTCATTTAAAATCAGCTGTATAGGGTAGAATTAATAAAGGCCATTAAGCTGAAGTCTGATTTTGAGCATTGATTTTATGGAGGGGATGGCTTTGTAGAAAAGAGGATTTAGTGCCCCCTTGCGTCTAACAGTGGAATGACAGAAGTCTGGGTGACAATCCAAGCAGCTCCTGGTTCTGGTGTGCTGGAAGTGTTGCTGGTTTTCACAACATGTCAGATTTTTATTACTCAAATGACTCAATTAGGTGAAAAAATTCCAATCAGCTGGTTTTAGCTCTTCATCAGGTGCTAACTGAAAGGTTCCTCTAAACCTATCATGTTGTGTCATGTTTTGAGACATTTTTTAAATTGTGTTTTTAGTCCCATCCCCGGTCAGTTTAAGAAGTGAATTATTTATTAATAAACCTGTTTGAACTAATTTGTCTTTGATGAATGCTTCCTGGTTTGTAAGAGCTAAAGTTTAAAAGTAACGCGTGTACCTGAATTACCTTGAGAGATGAGAACTTTATGTAGGTTTACGTTCTGGGCAGTTTATAGAATCTTGGCACATTCAGGAATGAGACATGTTTTTCTGGGGTTTTGGTGTAATTAATATAACTAAAAAGAGCCTACATCCAGGTTGTTGTAGGCGGAGTTTATTTTTGGCCTAATTATTCTGTTTTGTGATTTTTTTCCTTTTTTTATTGATGTTACCAAGCTGCATGAATACGAGATGACTAACAGGCTAAAAACAGCCGTAGGATCCAGTGTAAACATAAATCCTTGTTAAGCAAACTGTTACATTTGTAGCAGATATTCCTACAACCTTTTCAAGCCTCTGTTTAATCTGAAGGTGGTTCATCTTTGCCTTCATTAACTTACCTACTAGTTGTTTATCTGTGTAAGTACACTTCATTTAATTAGTTTTCCAGAAAAGTCATTGAGATCTTATTTAACAACTTATTTTCTTGTTGTCTGCTTCAAAATCTGCTCTTTGCCAGTTAAAACAGTGTCTCTCAGCTGCTGCCTTACGGTTCTGATGAATTTCAGACAGCTTTTCACTTCATTTAGCTTTCTTTGGAAAAATTATTTTTCTTTAGACTGCAGTGCAGTGGTTCTTGAGAATTGCCTGTGTTTAATTTCCTTGCTTACCCCTATCAGGACAAGTTACGCTGACTGGCAGAGGACATACGAGACCCTTGCCGAGATGGTGGTTCCTCGGTCCACCAAGTAAGTAGCCTTTAGCTTTTACCTGGAGATCCACATTTTCTCTCGCTCCCAGTAAAGTCAAAAGTTTCAAGGTGAGCAATTCACAGCTGCCCCAAAACGCAACACACAGCACCGTGGGTAGGGCATTTAAATCCTGCTCATGTCGGGCAGGCGATTCTAAGGCACATCTACTGGAAGTCATACCCAAGAGCCAGGATTTCCTTATGCTGAGACTGCTGAGAATTTCTGGGCACGGTTAAACGGGCCTGTTGGGAATTTCGGCAGAGAAGCAGGAGAGGGCCCTGTGCAGATTCCTCCTTTCTTGAGCTCATTACACACAGCAGCACAGTGCTGGGGCTACCCCACAGGTCACACAGACTGCTCGCGATCTCCCGCTCTTTTGTACACGGTACACGCTCATGTGGTGCGTGCCAGGTTGGATTGTTTCAGACTCGGGTGGTTCTCGTCCTGTTCTTTCGAGCCGATCTCTCTGCGGTATCACACGGGGCATGTGTGGCGTGGGGGCGGGACTCTCGATGGAGAGTGATGCATTGCTACAGCTGAGAGGAGTGAGTGCTAATGAGACTCGGCTGTGGGAGGGCTTTAAGAGCACAGTGAATACTTCCTAGAGATCTCGGCGTATGTGTGACGCGTGTCCTAGGATCCCGAGGAAGGGGGCCGTGTTCATGACCCCTCTCGGAGGCGAGTGCACGCAAAAGTAGAAGAGAGTGCGAAAAAGTTCCCCAGCAGGCCGTGAGGGGTGGACCTGCCTGTTTTTACGCCCACTCTGGTGGCCACTACCCCCGTGGCATCACAACTCCTTCTCTTGACCGCCTCATTAGGACCAAATCCATTACTGCAGTTTTTATAAAGCCGGTTCTCCTCAGACTTCAACAGACTTAGAGGCATTTTGGTCGCTGATACAGGCAGTTTATAGCTAAATTAATATAGTCCAGTAATTATCTCCTACATTCTTCAGCACACTTAAGCACTGATGCTACAGCCTTGATTGTGCTGGTGTGTGTGTCCCCCTTCGGGGCCATTCCCCTAAGACAAAATAATCTCTTATGATTCAGCGGTACGTGTTTTGCAGCAGTCCCTCCAGCATGCCCTGGGTCAGCCTCAAGGCCTCTGTCTAGTGGGACGGGCCTGGAGCACGGTCCGGCCCGCCTCAGCTGGCTCTTACTGATCTAAGTCAGGGCTGACTCTACCCCAGTCAGCAGTCCTGGAGAGTGAGCCCCGCAGCCCTGTGACGACACCCCATCTCCTCCGCTTCGTACCTGTGCTCATTACCCAGGGTTCATGGCCGTCAGTGATAATGGAGACCTGCACCGACCTGTACACCAGGAGCCTCCCCTGCAGGGGTCTCTCTGCTGCAGCTGTTGCTGTGTTGTGGCCCTCTTGGCCAACGGGTGCCTTTCAGCAGAAGCGGAAGCAGCAGGCTTAATTCTTCCCCTTCGGCAGCTTCAGTTATTCACTCGCCACAGATGCCCTCTGTGGGTCTTAACGGTGCTGCTGTGTCAGGCCCCTTCTACATCCTGGGAACAGCTTTGGGACTGACAGTGTGTGAACCTCATTCAGGGCCTCAAGCGGCCAGGCTGGAGCTAAAAGATCAGAAATTACATTGGAAATTGCCAAGGTAAACGCTTTAGCACTACTGTTGGAAAAACAGTCTCTTTGTACTTATTGATTTAAAAAAGAAATCTGAAATCTCTGGCAGAGATAAAATTGAATAGATAGTTTTTCCCCGAGCGTCGCCATTTGGGACTGATCTGTCCATTCACTGACGTTTTTCATGTTGGTGAGGATCAGATAAGTAAGAAAGGAGCAGCTGACCCATGTGATTAGAAGACCGGGTATCTAAGGAAACAGATTGAAGTTTCTCACCTGTTCACAGCTGACAAATGCAGTTTTCCCTGAGAGAGAGAGAGCTCTCCATACCGCAAAGTCATAATACAGCAAAAGTCAGTAAGAAGGTACAGTACCAAAAGGGGCCTTCAGTCTGCGCTACTCAACGTATTTAATATCTAGCAGTAGGAGCCATAATAGACAAAAGTAATCTTGTTTGTCTGTGATCCACTTGGCATGTTGAAGGATGCTGTACATTAACGAAGCTAACTTGCTGTTAAATTCAGCCTTTGCTCACATGCAGTCTACTGGGAAATGGAAAAAAATGCAAGTACTTCAGAGCTTGGGGAAATTCTGTGAATGTCTCAAGATATATACATTTCAGTATGCAGCCTGCAAACATGGGCTTGAATTCTTGTCACTGAGTATTGTATGGAATACAGACTCCATTTGGTTACTCGAGGATTTACATAAATATTAAGCATGATGCTTTACACGTAATATTCAGTTTATCAGACTTCTTTAAAGCACTGTGGTATTTTTTGAAAGTCCTTCATTGAAGGTGCAGTGTTTGATATTTTTAAAAACATTTAGAATTGCTCCAGATATTACTATTCAGATTTTATCCTTTTCAGAGGCCTTCTTTGTTTTGGTATTTTTTCTGTTAATTAAAAGTACATGACATATTGTGATCATAGCATTGACATTAGCCTAGAGTATTTAGAAGAGATTATGCAAAAGTCTTTGTTTTGCTCCCTACAGAATGCAGTTAGTGAAAAATCATACAATATACATCAGAAATGGTTTTGTTGGTCATCAAAATATTAACAATTATAATTTAAAACGCTGATGGTACCTATTTGGAAATTTCTTCAAGATGGTGTGTACAGTGGTTGTCATATTTCTGTTTTCACCGGCGTTCACCTGCACAAGCAGTGTAAAGGTCTAGTTTGTGTGAAATGTGATGTTAACCTCCCCGTCACTCTTCCCTGAAGTCTGCTGTTTGAGGATCAGGAAAGTGGCCTGTTCAGTGTGACTCTGTTCCGGAAGGCTGTGGACGACTTCAGGCACAAGGCCAGAGAAAACAAGTAAGAGATCTGTTTGGGGGTTTTCAAGGTTTCAGAGCCTTTTGTTACTGTCTCTAATGGGTGTGGGGGGGGGTTGAAGTGCCTGGAATGTCTGCTTACCAGCCAGGCCATTGAAAGAAGCACAGGCAGCCTCTTCAACCCAGCTGACTGCATCACGTTGCAGGTTCACGGTGAGAGACTTTCAGTACAACGAGGAAGAGATGAAGGCAGACAAGGAGGAAATGACACGGCTCTCCACCGACAAGAAAAAGCAGTTTGTATGTATTTTGGTGTTTTCTGCCTCCTTAGTGGCCTGAAATGCACTAATGCCCCCTTTTCCAAAGCCCCTCTAAACAAACTGCTTGTGAAGTATGCTGCTCTCCTGTGTGGTGATTGCGATAACAGAGGTGAGATGTGAGAGAAACTGGGCTGCTCCTTTTGCAGTGACTTGCTTTTAAACGTTCAGAGCCCCCAAAACAACTGTTATCCAGTCAGCAAGCAGTACCACAGTTTTTCCACATCCCTTCCCAGATGTTTTCAGCTGTAGCACCCTCTGATTTTCCCCTTGACCCCTTGGCTGTACATCAGCCTACAGTTACAGGGGCTAGGGAGTGTTATAGCCTGTGAAAGCAGTAGCAGGTGAGAGTAACAGCAGTCCCGTAGTGTAGTGTATTTGGAAAAGCCCTCCAGCTGTGTCTGCAGAGATGGAACTAAATCCAAGGAGTGAATTTTATTCTAGAAGCTTTGACTTAATATTTTTGTGCTTCAGTCCATTGTTCATTTGTTAACAACTTTGAATATCCACATGTCACTTGTGACGTTTGTGATGCACACAGGGAAATGATTCTCGTGCATCCTGATGGAGCTTGTTCTCCAGCAGAACCAGTGCTTAGCTTGGTGTGCTTGACTTTCCACAGGGGCCTTTGGTTCGGTGGCTCAAGGTCAACTTCAGTGAAGGTTTTATCGCCTGGATCCACATAAAAGCACTAAGGGTTTTCGTGGAGTCTGTCTTAAGGTAAAGACCGTGCTCAGAGCGTTGCAGCTCTGTCCTCGCAGTGGGAGATGCTGAAGGATGTGCCTTTGGTCCTGTAGCTGGCTCTTCTTTTTGCAAGGCAGTACCTCACAACATTATGCATCCCACAACACTCTTGTGTATAGAATTCCACACATACACAAAACCGGCCCCAGCACATTTTTGAAACTTACATCAGTGTGTACTGTGACGGTGGAATTGATGAGAGACGCCGTCAAAGTTGAGAAAGTGAACTCGTGTCAAATGCGCTTCCGCAGGTACAGTCTCGGAGTGTGGCCTCCATCTCTCATGTTTATACTGAACGTGCCACACCACACATTGCCTACTCCACAAGACTGATTTTTATATATATAAATGTTGAACCGATTTTTCCATTATTCTCACGTGCAACTTCCACAATGGGCCACGGTACACCTGTAGAGAAACATCGTTGTCAAGCAGTCTTGACAATCGCCATTGACAATACAGTCCCGCTGGTGCCTTAGGGAAAATTAACCATATGTTCTTACAAAACTTCATTAAAGGATTTCAGTGTGTTTTAAGTTTTATGTGCAAAGTAAATGTTTCACGTGGAAGTAGTTTTAAAACCGAGAGCAGGGGGCAGCTCCTTACCCCCAAAGAGTGCGGGAGGCTGGAACAAGCTACCTGGCCATGTGGTTAAAGGCGCACGAGACCCCTTGGAGTCTTCATCTCGCTTCTTGGCCTTTCTGGTGTTCTTGTCTTGGTCGCCACGGCGTTTCTTAGCCGTGACTTGGGGGCTGAGGTGCTCTTGTGTGCGCAGGTACGGGCTGCCTGTGAATTTCCAGGCTATGCTGCTACAGCCCAGCAAAAAGACCATGAAGAAGCTGCGGGAGGTGCTGTATGATCTCTACAAGCACCTGGACAGCAGTGCAGCCGCCATCATCGACGTGAGTGACGTTCTGGGACAGGGGGGGGGCGCGGTGCAATTCCAGTCACTGCAGTGTCGCTACCTGCAGCGCAGACTCGCGACTGCGGTGCTTTCATCCGGGGGGGGCAGTTACCACTGAAGCCCCACGCACCGGAACAGGCCGTCTTTTTGGCTTGTCAAATTAAAATGTGTTTATGTGGGGGAAACAATATCTTAAAAGATGCTGAGACCGTTACGTGGCCTGTCACAACCATAAGAAAGCCTTCAAGCGGGCTTTGTCTAGCTGATTGCAGTATCATTATGATCATAAAAAATTATGATCACCTAAGAAAGAGGTTTTAAGCCTAATTGAGGAGGTCCTTAATTTTAACCCTGAGCTTTTGTCTAATCCTAGTTTTAACATCAGTGTATTTGTGTTTTCTAATACAGTTGTTTTAGTCCTGTCCTGAAGTCCTATTTTTGATCTAGATCAGAAGTGCTGATTTTTTTCCATGTACAGTATATGGTGCTCATTACCTGTGTTGAAGTGTGACAAATGGCCTGTTGTAAAAGGCGTTGATCTTTCCGTGACCTCCCGCCAGTAAAAGCTCAGAGATGTTTTCACCTGCTGTGCTTTTCCCAACAAGCTCGCTCTTGATTTGAAGCTAATGCTGCAGTTGCCAAATAATTGTCTCTTTCAAACATTCGGTTCTGTGTTTGAAGAGACAATTATGTGAGGTTCCCTAACTTGTTTTTTCAATGCTTTGAAGTCAGATGCCTTCAGTCTCCACCCGGTTACCATGAGTGGTTTTGGTAATAGCTGTACTGGGTGAACGAGCTCGTCGTCACCTCTTTCTTTGTTCCGATGCAGGCGTCTATGGACATCCCCGGCCTGAACCTCAGCCAGCAGGAGTACTACCCCTACGTGTACTACAAGATCGACTGCAACTTGCTGGACTTCAAATAAAGCAGAGCTCCCTCTCGCACTCCCTCCTAGATGTCGTTTTAATGTTGACCGCAGATTAACCGAGATACCTTTAATTGACCTCTAAATTGTTTTAACTGTGGGTTAATCCACTTTGGCATCTCTAGTCGTTGTGATGAGGTAAAACCTCCTTCTGTCGTCTTGACAGGGGAAGGGGGGCTTCTGTATCTATTTTTGTTTTTTTTTCTTTCCTTTTTTTTAAACTAAAAAAAAATCAATCAAGGTATATAAATATGTGCTCAAAGATGATAAAATCTATTTATGGTCAGGTATTTAAAAAAAAAATCATTCCTCACATTCCTCATCTGTGTAGTGCTGTGCAGTAGCTACATCTGTGGGTCACTGTTCTTGAAACTTCTTTATCTGAGGGCCTTTTTATCCTTTTATTTCATTTCAAGTGTGTGGTCCATCCTATAGGTAGTGCCCCCACTTCAACAGTGAATCGTGTTACAGGAAAGCAATATGTGTGTGTTGTCTTATGATGTCTGTGTATATTTGGTGTTTAAGGAAAAAATGTACAAGCACTATATCATGGAAAAAAATAAATAAGTAAAAATGTAAAATGTACCCTTGATTGTTTTATTTCTGTTCATTTAAAAGGGCTTCTCCATAAACATCTTTACGCAATTATACACTAATGTTAAAATATTTTGTAAATCACTTCTTAGTGCCTGAATAATCAAACAAATACCTAAAATGTTTGCTTGCTCTCTTCAAAGCCCTTCACAAATGTCATATAAAACATCTGTTTAACATAGTTGCATCTTGTTGCTATTATGCGGTCTCAAATCAATGTCACCTGAGTGTTGTTGTAGGTTTTGCTTTTGTGTTCTCTCTCGCAAGGCACAGACCGAAAAAATATCACGCAGTGGGTTTGAGTCAACAATGCCCATTTAATTAACCTTTGTTGAATGAGGGTCATGGAAAGAAAAATGAGCAATTTACAGAGTGGTTCCAGATATGTAGAGTATTCAGATGTGGATGACAAGCCTTTTTGAGCATTTTGTGCCGCCGATCAATGGAGGATTGAGACTAGTTCGTCTCTTGTTTTCTAAACGGAAGACAAGACTGCCATCGTATCGGACAGTTTTGAATGATCTATTTTGGCCACGTCAAACGCCAAAAATAAAAACTTTTTACAGGAAGTCGTGAAGCCTTGGCTGGCACCACTGAGTACCCAGAATGCAACCTCTGGCAAATAACATCTCTAAAGCTCGTCTTTTAAGACTGGAGCGCTTGAAGGTCTGTAACGATGTTTTCCAGCACATTTTCAAAGATGCAAACTTAAAACGTGGTTGGGGGAAGCTCTTCCTCACATTGCATCGCCTACGGAGCAAATGATAACCAACAGCAAATGCAATAGGGACCTTTACATAACATGGTTTTCATCTAATAATGCCAGCTACTACTATAGCAACCAGCAGACTGAGCGCACCAAATTAATGGATAACCGAGGGGTCTGTTGGAGCAGGTTAGTCTCAGAGTGATTATAGCACAGCTGTAATAGGAAATAGGTTTGTAAGAATGGTGAGAAAAAGAGAAGGTAATCTGTCCCATTGAGCGAAGTTTAAAAGTAAGATTTTGCTTTATGGCACGTTGATGCTTGCTGATCATTTCCAGCTTGTCTGATTTTGAGAAGGTGTGCATATTACCCCTATCTTAGAACGTCTGTTTGCCAACAACCTGCGACGGGGGGGTTACGTTCCAGTTCAGAGCTGAATGAGGAATAAGCAGCAGGAGATCGTTTCTTTTTTTATGGTCTTGTAAAGGCAAGTGGATAACACACTGTTGACATTGAAGTAAGTTCAATATTTAAATATTAGTATCTGAACACTACCAACTGTGCCTGTGTGTCTCTTAATTGAGCTAGCTGGAAAGGCACATAGTCAATGCAGAGAGAAACTGCTACTCCAAAATAAGGAACATCTGGGGATGATGGTTTCTTTTTTCCTTGCTTCTTGGTCTGTTACAATGCCATCTCGGTACTGGTAATTCAGACAGCTATTACTCGGGCCTAGTAAGGGATTGTAAATATCTTTTTTTTGTAGAACAAGGACTGCGCTAGCATTGCTGAAAAGAGGTTGTATCTCACCTGCTGAGAGAGAAGTCACAAGGATGTTCTTAATTGGCTTGTAGCTTTTCACAGTGAAAAGTGCCATCTGTCTGCTGCAAAAAAGCATGACACTGAGAGAGCAGTTTCTTCTTCATTAAAACAGCCAGTTTCCAACACGGGTGAATAAATTTCACTGTTTCACACTGGAGTGGACAGGGGTTAGCATTGCTGCCTCACGGTGCTCGAGTCCTGGGTTCAGTCCTGGACCTGAGAGGTGCTGTCTGTGTGGAGTTTGGATGGTCTCCCTTTATTCATGTGGGTTTCCTTCCACAGTCCAAAAACTGGTGGGAGCATTGGTTTCTAGGAAAATTGGCCCCGGTGTATGTGTGTGTTTCCATACCTGTGTGTACCCTGCCATGGACTGGTGTCCTATCCAGGGTGTATCCTGCCTTGTGCCTGTTGCTTTCTGGCTCTCCTGCAATGTTGAATTCGATGAAGTGCTGAGATAATGGATGTTTGGTATCAAGATATACTGGGAGAACGTTTGTATAAAGCTTTTCATGCCACTCTGCAACATTTTTGAGATGTAAATATTTTGGTGTAGCTTAAGGATTTCACATCAAATGCAAAAGCGCACTCTGTGATGGACTTCACTCTTTCTTGTGTGGTAACTTTAACCCAGAGCCTCCCCTCTCACCCTTGCAGTACTTCAGTGCTCAAAAGGCGCCAGCAGTAATCTTCAGAAGAACCGCAGATGAGAGCAGCTTCTTTCTCCCTCTCTTGCTCTAGACACTTCTGGAAACAAGCATGCCTCTCTCTCCCCTTGTGAAACCTTAAGATAGTCAAACACAGGACTTTGGGGCTCTGGGGCAATAAGAGGTAACAACCATGCAGGACAAACTGTGTGAAGCACCCTTAGCTTGGTTGGTTCCATCCATTTCTAAAAGCTACTTATTCCTGGGGACAGTCATGACATCCTGGAGCCTGTCCTGGGAGTGGAGAGATTTTGTCCCTGTTGGGATACCAGTCCATTGGAAAAGTGCAAACACACCCGCAGAGAATTTAGGGAGACCACTTTATCTAGCTAGGAAGAACATGCAAAAGGCATCACGTCAGAATCATACCTGGCACCTACGAGCTCTTCGGCAGAAGCGTTTAATACCCTATTACATTACATTACATTACAGTTAAGGGTTCTTCTCTGAAGACTGTGCGCTTTTTAGCTATGTAAATTATTTACCGACAGTGGTTTAGCGTCCATCCCAATTTTGTGAAACACTCCAGTGATTTTTATACTGTACGTCGTGGAGACGCGGCACTGCTAGAGCAAGCTTCAAAGAGTCGTGTTTCCTCCCCCCTTATGGGAAACAAAGCAAAAAAGGACAACGCTGTGGTTTGATCGTCGACGAATAAATTCATTTTCAGAACAGTTTGCGGTGGTACGTGCATACCTGGACAAATACGAGAGGTTAAGAGGAGAGAGGGGAGAGTAGGGGCTTCTGCAGATGAAACAAATAACAGACAGACCCCACCGCCCCCCAACTCCCCACTCCTCACACTTGTTAACCCGGTTCATGTCGGTTTTTCAATAGTATTTTGTGCGCACGAAATGACGTCAACAACCCTATATTACCAAGTCCAGCAAAACCCGTTCAGCTCAGGAAGGAGGCGCCGTGTGCGGAAGCTAGACAGCATCTTCACAGCTACAAGACGAAGGATGCTGGGACGCAGGGGACGGTGACACACCATACCGGTAACGACTAATTATGTGCGGTGCGTGTAGTCTCACGGTCTGTCGGGAAACCAGCAGCACACAGAGGGATTTCGGCATCCGCGGATAATCGGCCAGGAGCAGGATGGGCTGCGGAGGCAGCAAGGCTGATGCCATTGAGCCCAGGTACTACGAGAGCTGGACGAGGGAGACAGAATCGACATGGCTCACCAACACCGACACCGAGACCCCCCTGCCCGGGGTTATCAGCAATAATCACGGCGCCCCAGAAAGTGCTGTTCCCAGCATGAAGGATAGTGCCACGATGTATGCGGGTCAGTATCTGTTTTTTTTCCCCGTGTTCTCCTCTCCCGTTCGCTCGCTTTGTACAGGTTGAAGACACGAAAACAAAAGCCCGTTAAAATGCAAGTCTTGTTCTAACTAGACTCTGCAGAAAAAAAAACCAGTATGAAGATATAGTTTCTTTACCCGTTGTTCTCGGTTTTGTTTTACTTCCTTCTGTTATTTTATTGCTTTCAGCATTCGCCTCGTAACTATTTGCATTTGGTTACGGCAGGCTGACCTTCTTATGATTGATTATCTGTGCTCATGCAGGACATTATTATTGAGTTATTCCAATAAAGCTATTCTATGACTTAGATTTACCTCTAACTGCTACGTATATTTCATCATATACCGATTATCGGTTCAAGTGTAAAGACTGAAGGGGATAGTTAGGGTTAGATGCGATGCCTGTACCCATTTAACATTGCGTGATGACGCATTAGAAAGTTACATTGTACATAACAACACATAAGAAAGTTACAATTTACTACCACCCCTTGGTGACGTATTTATAGATTACATTTTTGTTAAGGGAAATATTTTTTTGGGGGGGATTATCAATGATTATTTTTTGGCTATAGTTCAGCTTCCTTATTAATTAACTGCAGTGGCTCGTTCAACGTTCCGGTATCTTTTCTGTTAAATAGACATTTCATTGCCACTGAAACTTGTTGTTGGGGACAGAAGAGTATCTAAAGGCCTAGATTGTTTCAGTCTTTCCTTAGTGATCTGGTCATGTTTCTGCACTGCAGTCCGTATGCCTGTTTTGATTCTTTTAAGCACGGCATGATCCATTAAGTGGTTTAGGCATTTTCAATTTTATTATTGGAAGCAATGTACTTACAGAATTTAGAGGCATCATCTATAATCTTACTTGAGTGTAGTGGTATTATCTGGAAAACAGAAATTATAGGATCTTCAGGTAACAAGTAATTTACCCTTCTCAATTACAGATCACTGGATCTTTCTAGAATTCTTATGTAGTAGGCCTTTGTATTTCCTATTGAGAAGAACTGTGATGTAATTGTCTCAGAACTGTATGAGGGTGTGATGCTGCAGTTCAGTGAAGATACAGAGCAAAGTTTTCATGTAAATTAGGTGAGCAGGTGTCAGAGAAGAACCAATTGGTGTTCTGGAGAGTATTTTTCCATCAGCTGCAAGAATACATGCTTACAGACACAAAAGCTTATTCTTTCAGGATATAAATTTATAAGCATGTATATTAAATCAAGAAGTGGTCATGATAAAAGTGTATAATGAACCAGCAAGACCTCATGTAAAATAATGTGTACAATTCTGGTCACCGTGTGTATATAAAAAAAACATTGTTATGCTGGAATCTGTCCAGAGTCGAGCAACCAGATGCATTCTGGGGCTTAAAGGAATGTCCTACACTGACAAGCCAAAAAAAAACAGACCTTCTCGGAGAAGACCTCATTGAAGTATTCAAAATACTCAAAGGCTGTGACAGTCAATTCAGATCTTGCAAAAACAAACAGTGAAACACAAACCAGAGGACAGGAGTGGAAACTACGAGGAAGCACATTTACAACCGAGGACAGGAGGCACTTCTGCACACAAAGAGGTGTGGACTTACTGTATGGAACAAGCTACTTAGCTATGTTATCAAAACTGGATGTCATTTGTGCATGTCCCGGTAAAGCATGTGATGATAACATATTGTGTAGCAGTTATAAAGAGATTGTGAAGTCATTATGCAGCAACATTCAAATAAATCCTGGCCAAACTTTTCTCATGTTCTCGTTTTCTTTGTTTTAATTATCTTTAAACGGAAATCATCTCCAAATGTGTAACAGTATATGCAAAGAAAAGACTAGACTCTAGGACCTCTAGATTATTATTTTGGTTTGTGTTTCCCCTTGAAAATAAAAATAGACTCTTTCTATACTACACAAAACCCAACAGCTATTTTTTCCAAGCGGCATCTTCTGGCATAATTCCCATTTCTGATCTCAAGCTGTGCTCAAACTACCCCTTCCCTATTGCTCAGAAACAGTTTGGTCATTATAGCAGATTGAAAATGTGAAATTATCCCCAAGGGGATGCCACTGAAAGCTATGTAGTACCTGCTTTTCTTGTTTAAATAGTTTTGCTGTGTCCTGGCATTATTGAAACAATCACAGCTAATGTTCTGTTAATAGTTTACAAAACAAGATCTGCTAAAGAAAGAGGAAGCATAAGCACATGGTGCTAACATCAGCTTATAAAGCCAAGACAAGATGCGCTCTTGCTTTTTCCTTTCAATATAGAGAATGAGTGGTAATTAGACAAAGGGTTTTACACAGTCAATAATTAACCACTATGAGCTGCTTTATAGCTTTACATTTTTATAGCTTTGCTTTCCAATAAGCCCTTTTGATTGGCTTTGTATGGGAAAGTGATATTTGCTTTACCTACCTTGCATTAATTCAAAGGAGGTAATAGAAACCACTTTAGAATTTTTTATGTATCTGCTACAACACCCTTGTTGACCATGATTACTGAGTCTTCTGTAGGGCTTCTGTCGTGCCTTCTGTTTAAATATAATATAATATAATTTTTACAATCACTGGATCTGGATCACTGCAGCACAATTCCGAAGTCTGTAATGTGCACAGCTATGAAATAAAAGCTTTAATGTCTCAGTGTTGCTCAGCTTATCTTCCACTTTATGGTCTTCCTGTCTGCCAGACTAATTAGAGTTTCCTCTAATTTGACATTGGACACGATAGTGCTTGCCTACAAACTAATACTTAATACATGCTTTTGTTTGATGAAGATTGGACTGCTGTAATCCTTTATTGGTATATAATCTAAAGAACAAAACAGCTTTGGGTAGGTTCAGAAGTCAGCAGTTGTCCTTATTAAGTCTCTGCGTCATCTTGTATCTCCCATCCTCTGTAAATAGCACTGCCTGCCTGTGAAATTTAGAATGGACGTGAAGGTTATGCTTATGCATAAGGTGCCGAATATATATAGCTGCAGGAGTTAATGAATGAGTATAGCCCAACACTTACTGTGAGAGGTAGTACGTCAGGTATTACTGAGCCAAAGACCAGGATCCACAAAGTGGGTGATAGAGCCTTTCTGTGTGCAGCACCATGTCTGTAGAACACATTACACAACTCCATTGGAAACACTACAACTGCCTCGTAGTCTTGTAGAAGCATGTTCACTTGCTTAAAGGCCCGTCTGTATACTAATGCTTCTAATGTGCAATTCAGCCTTACTGTTGGATTCACTAAAACAATTGGGTGTGTTCTTCTTATCCACTTTCGTTTTTTTGATTCTGTTATGTACTTTGTGTGCAATTGTACGGATCTTAGGGTTTCTTGAAAAGAACTCGGAAATACAATTGTATCATTGTTTGGCAGAAAAAAAAAACTTTCACAAATGCTGTGTTCTGGGTAGAAAAAAATCAAGAACAAAACTAGCGAACGACAGGGTGAATCCAGCTCTTCCAGGCAGGTTCCAGCGGCCTGTCATGAGATCTACATCCAGCATTCATACTCATGTGGAAAGAGACATGGTGTCTCCTTAAACAGAAATCCTGTAAAGAGCTCGAGGAAAAGAAGGAGTCAGTTGCCACCGTGTGACAGAACCGGTGCTTCGTCAGTGCACAGGGGTGAGGTCAATGAGGATATCTGTATGTTTTGTTCTTGCAAACTAAAGCCACATCATCCACTGTTTCCAATTATGACTGGCTTGTGATCATTCTGACTGCGTAAGTCACCATATTCCACTAATGAAAAATGATTGCAGAGCTTACATGAGGCATCCGACGTATAACCATCTTGCCAAAACCATGGTTGCAAAGAACACAAAGCACATACCGGACCGGTCGGGGCCCGGGTTAACAACGTCCGCCATTGGTGCTGTGTCCCAACAGGGTACTAATGGAAATTATGCTACTGTGGGGAAAACTGTAGAGTGGGGGCTACAGAAAAGAAGAAGAAGAAGCTTACATGAGAAGTTCTGTTTTCTAAGTATATACATTCGAGGACTGCAGTGGGGCACAGTGGTTGGGGTACTACCCTCAGACCTGGAAGGTTGTGGGCTCAAATTGAATTGTCCCCCAAAATAGAAATGACCTACTTGTAGAGTGTGTGTACATCTTGGTCTTTTTGGATAAAAGTGTCAGCTGGATTATTCTTTAGCATTTACAGTATATCAAGTGTTTTTTCGGAGGTAGACTCAAGCTGGTAGCACGATACATAATAAAGAACAGCAAAGCACGTGTGAATTAAAAGGATTTTGTTTGGGACAACTCAGAGAAGGATAAGGACGCAGTCTTTTAAAAAAGGTTAGAAACGAGAAAATTTTGATCTGGGAATTTGAAAGGCTCGAGGGTCCTTGTAGCGTAACGTATTGTATCGTTCTGTCTTTAAGGCAAGGGAGACGAGGGAAGGCCAGCTCAGGGCTATGTGTCGGTGTCGTCGAGCTCTGCACACAAAGAGAAGAAGACTGTCAACACAAGCACACAGTGTGGGAAACAGCCCTTGTACCCGACACCTGGCACAGACTCACAGAGGAGGGCTGCTTTTCATCGAGAGGAGGTAGGAGTTTTCAATTTTCTGCTTATTTCGCTTGAGGCTTTTCATATTCTCATTTAAACAGTGTCCAAATGAAAAATGGAAAAGATTGTGCAGTCTCTTGCAATCAAACGGGGACATTTGTCAATCCGCATAGTTTTAAGCAGAGAGATTGTATATCCCCTCATTGCCACAAACTGAAATTCCTTGATTCCACAACATGTTAAGGGACTACATTCCTTTTTTTATGCGGATTTGATTTTACCCACCTGATATTTGCAATCACACATCACAGGCGATTCCCACGGCTTGTCTCACAGCTACAAACCCCGTGACCGCACACGGGGGAGAACGAGGAAGTGTAAGCAGACTCCTCCTCCGCCCACCCCCACCTTCCAGACAATTGTTTTTTAACACCTCACCGACAGCACAGCCCCGTGCTGGAGGTTCAGGGCTGACTGGAGGAGAAGCACGTCTCAGCCTCTGTTTGCTGTCTCTATGCGACACTTCACTTCATTGAGGTCCCCCTCCAGGTTCTTCTTTGCAGCTGACAGCATCTCTCTGCTTCTGCTTCTCCAGCTGAGGCACTTGTTTGACCAGCTGTCTCCTTTACTCGTCTCTCTGCCCAGGCCCCACGAGAGGGGGGCGGAGGGGGGGGCAGCAGGGACATTTGGCCCGGGCCTCACCTCACAGGGGGGGCCTCACCTCAGCCAAGGGTGCTCGGTCCTCCACTTCAACCCTTCGGCTGTGTTTCTCGACTTGAGTCGAATCTGGAACTTTTCCCATATACTGTAAATCTCGCCGAAAGTCCACGGCTGTGAAAAAACACCCCCCCTTTCAGTTGCTGAATCTGCCATTCTTCAGGGGTTTCAAAATGCCTGCTTTAATCATCCCATCATGCCATTCTTTGCATGAAAATATTTGTGACCCCTCTTTCCAAACATCTGAGCTCTCGGTGGGCCCGCCTCTGCCCATTGTGCGGCTGTAGGTGCCTTTCGCAATGGGCCATTATCACCTGCATGCTGACCTGTTAGCTTGTGATGGAGCAGCCCGCGGTTCTTCCTTCAGCTCTTCTACTTGTGTCTTCATTACCTTCCCTCTCGAGTTCCTTGCTGCTTTTCAGGTGGCAGGGACGCACTTTTTTTAGCACATCAGTCCATTTATGGCACTCCTGCAGCAGTTCAATCCAGTCTTTATTTTTCTGCTTACTCTCCAAACCGAGGCGTCCCCCAGTTCATAGCCAGGGACTTCTTCTTCCCAGCTTGATCCATCTGCATCAGTCTCGTCTTTTTTCTTCTCTTCTGGGCTCACTAGGACCACGGGCCTCACCGTCTTTAGGTCCACACCTTTTGCGTTGCTTCTAACCACATTTTCCCTCTGCTCTCCGTACATGCTCACCGGCTGTTTTATTACATTTCGTTTTGTTTTCAACTAGATCAAATGGGAGTCCAAAAAGAGGTCATCCAAGGACGTGGCCGTTAATGTCGCCAGAGGTATTCAGCGCACCAGCAAAGGAGAAGTTCCGAAGAGCTGTGTGAAGTAAGAGAAGGGAGGGAGCGATGACAGCTGAAGAGCAGGCTCACTTCGGAAGCACAGCCCTGCAGGAGAGAAACGGCCCTGCTGGGAAAGTGGTAGAGGTGTTGACAGCCTCGCATTCAGAGTGGACTCAGAACAGGCACTTTCAGCATAGAGATACAGATATGGTTCGCGTATTTCAGAGGGGCCACTGCAAGACCCTTTTCAGTCCCTTTATGACAGCCAAGCACAAGCTGAACACCGGGGACAGGGGCAGGGACAGCAACAGCAACAATCAAGTGATGATAACTTTAAATGATGACTCAGCTGTTTGCAAGCACAGCGCCTGTTTCTCTGGAGTACAATGTCTTTCCCTGAAGCTGAAGTTACTTTATAGGGACACACAAAACCTTATTTTGGAATGCAAACATAGCTTCTGAATTAAAAAAAGAGAAATAGCAGCACTCCCCCCCATCAATATTTTTAGGGGATTATAAAAAAGAGTATTTATGTTTCTTGTTTGTCTGCGTGAGTGGTTTTAACTCTCCTCTTTGTCTCCAGAGTAAAAAAGAATGATGAGAAATTAAAGTGAAAGCGCTTGTTGCACATGTATTATGAGGGGGATGTTGTTTTCTGCCTCATGTACAGTATTTGAAACGGGATCATTCTGCTGTGGTAATCCTTACAGACCCCCTCCGAGCGTGCTGGGACAATGTAGACACGTTGCACAAGACCATGCATGCCAGCTGTAGACAATGGCTGCCAGGAAGCTCCTGCCTGATCAACATGCCAAATGCTTTACTTGTCACGTGTTACAAACACTGCCTTTGAGTACATGATCCATCATCTGACAAAACGACAACATCTGTGTGGTTTGTGACTGTACGACGAACTTAATTTGATCAATTCAGCAACACTGCTGCTTAATTTGTGTTAACAAAACTCACTCCTTTGTGTTAAGTTTTGGTTTCAAACTGAAATTTCAGTCTCACAGCATCACATCTTGGACTTTTTTATTAGCTTCACAAAGATGTATGCAGTGCAATGGACATCATCACAGCTATCCGTGTTAATAAAGATTGGTGGTTGTGCATTGCACTAATAGCACTAACAAGTCAGTGTAAATGAACACTGCTGTATATAGTCATTTTGCCAGTTTTACACAGCTAATTGATTTCAAATATGTCTTAAACCCACCTAATTACTGTTTTGGCACCCTCATTGTAGCTCCCTTTTTTGTTTTGAAAACAGTTCAGTTATTTTAAAATGTCTTATAAATAAAGTAAATTCATCCTTATATCTGATAATCCCATTCTAATTTATTTGGTCTAATTTCTGGCTGAAATATTTTTTTACTCAGTCTCAGTAAACCACCCCCCCCCACAAGGACAAAGACATATTGGTAAGTTAACTGGCTTCTGGGAGAACTGGCTCTGGGGTGTGTGTGCGTGTACCCTGCCTTGGGCCTGTGGCTGGCCAACATGCACTCTAGCTCCTCTGCTACCCTGAATTAGATGAAATGGATAAGCAAAAATTTTTTTTCTAATAAATATATGTTCAAAGCTCCCAAAAGGATCAATCTGCCTTTAAACCAGAAAGGAAGGTTTTCTAGGTAGGTTTTTGAGGATGATGCATCATTAAGGTAGTTCTGGGGACGGAATGATACGGCTTCAGATTCCTTCAAGATTTCTGTCTGCTGCCAGGAAGTGAGTCTGCTGCCACTAATGTTCGACCGACTTCTTGGTATCAGACATTTTATATTTACAAGACGACTGAGATAGTGATGGACTGGTTCATGTATTAAAATTCTACTTTCAAAAAAATATAATATACAGTATACAGATATGTGTGGGTGGAGCATGTAAAAAAGATGAAAATATTTGCATTATTGCTTTCATGAACAAGCTTTGTTTTCAAATATAAACTACAATACAAAATGAAAATAACTGCACATTATCCATTGGTTATAGAAACATAAATGACGCCATTCTTAAATCATGCCTGGAACATTTCATTTCTTCAATTTGGCTAACCTCAAACTGGTTTTAATTTCCTGATTAATATTTATTCCTTTATTAATGGTAGCTAAACTTAACTGGAACAACGATAACAGACAATGAAAATGAAGTGGAATTCTGCTGCCCTGCACAATCACATAATTTTGCTGACTCTTTATAAAATCCATTTTAACAGGGAGATGGATAATTATGAGCTTTTCTAGGATATAAAGGACTTGTTGGCACAGAGGAAAATCGCAGGCCTGTAGAACTGTTTGTGGATAAAAACTAATACGTTAGGTTTATTTTGAATATATTTTCGTACATACCCACTCGATACGGAATCGCCAGTTTCTTATTTTTCTAAGTCTCCAGTCACGATTGCAAACGCTGCAACCGCACACAGGAGAGAATGAGGAAATGTAAAAAAAAACAAACTCCTCCCCCCGTCTGGCTCCACCCACTTCCTGTCCGCTTTGTCTATTAACACGTCACAGGCTTCAGGCTGGGATCGGCGACGATTGGAGGAGAAGAGCGTTCGTCACTAAGAGCCTTATAAATACCCGGAAAAACGTCACTGAGGCGACTAACCATTTGTTGGCCGAAACTTGTGGATTTCCGGTAACAGTCTTTTAAAAAAAAAATGTTTATTTATGCTTAACAAAAGAACAAAAATTACAATACAAACAAGAGTACATATAACAATTCAAAACAAAAATATCGTCAGGGGTACATACTACTACATAAATTCAAGTTATGAAAAAAGATTGAACAAATTAAATAAAAAACAATGTCCGCACCGCTTTCAAATTTTTGCATTTCGAAATAGTCTGCAAATACCCCTTTACTTCCATTTTAAAATACTCAAACACAGGGTACTTCCCAGACCACTTCATTTTATGTATGTGATAACGTGCCAGTATAATAATTACATTTATTACAAACGAAATTTTAATATTGTTTTCACTGGGGCTGAAACTTAACATCTTTTTTCAACAAAACAAATATCAATATTGGTCTCTTTTTTAATATAATTCTGCAACTTAGTCCATAACATTTTTACCCTGGGACATAACCAAAACAAATGCTGAATAGTTTCAGGGCTGTTGTCACAAAAAACACATTTGTCATCTATATTAATTTTAAATCGTTGGGTAACAAGAGGTTTAACTGGGTAAATTTGATGAATTATTTGGTATGAAATTTTATTGGTTATACAATATTTATTGGGCATCATCCAAATTTTTCTCCAATCAAATTCCGGTAACCGTCTGTCAGTACTACGACCCAGGTTTGACGCGTGTCATCGAGTTCGTCCGCTGAAAGTTCTTACTAAGTGAGCCCCTGAGCGGAAGTAATATTAAGATGGGCTAAAGATCTTTTCTTGTTCGAAAATTTTCTGACGGGTTTTTTAAAAATTCATTTTGATTCCCTTTGTAATGAAAATTTATTAAGACAGAAAGAGCAGGTCACGACAAGCATTCCCTCGCCTATGTGGATTGTTTACTTTCGGAAGAGGCAGTTTTGGTTAATAAACACCCTTCCGTAGTTTACTACAATCCATTCAACACATCTGGAGTGTGGAGTCATAGCGTATTTATGAAGCTGAATTTCTTGAAAATAATTGCAGGTCTAAACAGTCAAAACAGAATGTACAACCAAAAAAAAATCAAGACTCAATCCTATTTTTCTTTGTGCCGGTTGAAGTCAGTGGTGGAGCTTGAACCTGCCAAAATGGAGTAACAAAATGGCAGAGGATTGCTCCTTAAAGCAGTGACTCTGTTTGCTTCATCGAGCTGTGCTGTTGAGTGTTTCCGAAGATGCAGATTCCCAGGATATACTGCCTGTTTGTGGACCAGAATGGGATGATGATGATGGAGAGATGTGTTAAAAAACAGTGGAATGTTGTGGTTTTTATAAAATTATCAACATTTAAGTTAAAAATCAGCTGCCACTCTGCAGATACATCAGGTTATGACAATATATCCAATGAAGTGTTTCTACCACTGGATGTTCCTTTTTCACTTGCAATCCCATCAGTGTGGTGCAAACTGCTCTTTTAGCTTCTGAAGCAACATGATCAGCCTTTCAAGATGGGTGACTCATACCTGCTTTCCCCTGGCGCTTCGTGATTGCTTAAAGCTCTGCAGGTACTGCTTTGGAATAAAGAACAAATTGTAGATAGAAAGCTGTGTACTTTTCCCTCCAAAAGCAGATGGTGCACAATGGCCAGACATAACTGCTTGATACACTAAGCATATTGTACTTTTGAGATGTGGAGAACGTAAAGTAGTTTAAAACTCTGTTTTAATCTACTTAGGGGACAAATAGTGCATACTGGATTAATAGAAAACTTAAACTGCTCATAACATCAGGCATAAAAGGATGTGTTCGAATTTGAAGAAAGCTGATGAAAACGTCTTTCACATAAAGCACTCCCTACCTTTAGCCTATAAAAAGAATATTTTCATCCATTCTTATTTGCAATAAGCACATATTTATGTTGCTGTTTAACTTTACTGTTGCAGGATGGCTGTCAGATTTCTCTCCAGGTGATGCAATGCCTTTCATTGTACTGATGGCACAGTTAGAACATCATTCTAAAAGTGCTTTGTGTTCCTTTAGCGATGAACAGGACTGTTGTGCCTTGATCTTAGACTTGTGCATGGTGTTTAATCTGTATGTTCTCTGCCTAGTGGAATTAACGAGTTAATATCTTTTTACGAACTGCAGATGCATTAACATTTAATTGTTATCATCATCATTATTATTATGAAATCTGAGCTAATGTATGTTCGTATCTGAGTTTTTGTTTTCACCATGGCTCTGCTTAAACTAGATGATGTCAATCGTCAGTGAACTTTTGAGGAGTTTCAGAGAGCTTTTGTTTCTTTCCTCATTTGAAATTGGTTACCTAGCTACTGGACTAACACGAGTCAACATTTCCACAGCAAGTACCACTTGAAATTTAAAGCTAAAACTGCCAGCACTGTTAGTTAAAACAATTGCTAGGCATCATCCTTTCATCTGGCAGTTGAAGGGCACATGCAGAGATATCAATCAGTATTCCACACAGATCACAGATGAGCATTAGCCGACTTCATCAAAAAGAAGTTGTGCTGGTTGGTTTTACACACACTTTTTCCATTTCTTAAAAAATGCGGTTGTTCGATATTTTGCCAGCTGAAATGAAACCAGTAAAACCTGCAAAGGTTTGATCTAATTGATTTTGGCCACTGTTTCCGTTGAGAAAGCTGCTGATATTCTGTAATACTTCCAGACGTGACAGTGTGATGAAAAGACTAAAGTTGTTGGATCATCTTTTCCATGGGACTTTAAAGCTGTTCACTGACAATGTCCCCCATCACAGATCCGAATCATTTAGAAGAATGTTAACCATTGTTTCTTAATTCTCTCTCCTGTTTTACCCACACATGTCCCTGTGGTACATAAGAGGTTGTCACAGAGGTCAGCATTGCTGCCTCACAGCACTGGGGCCCTGGGTTCAATTTCTGGGCTGCTGTCTGTGTGGAGTTTGTATGTTCTGAACGTGCTCACATGGGTTTCCTCCAGGTTTTGTGGTTTCCTCCCACAGCCCAGAGATATACTGGTGGCTTAATTGGCTTCTGATGAAATTGGCCCTGGTGTGAGCGTGTGTGTCTGTCCTGTGATTGACTCGTCCTGTCCAGGGGTATGTCTTGCACTGGCACCTGTGGCTTGCTGGGATCCGGCTCCCCTGTGTATAGGATAAAGTGGTTAGAAAATGGATGAACCTAAGAAAGGTTAATGAGAGGGACCCAGTATTGTTTCATTAGTTTAGGGAAACACCAGGACCCGTATTGGACAGGATGAGGGGGCTGACTACCACCCAATTCCCCAGTCTGGAAATCAAACCCAGGACCCAAGAACAGTGAGACGGCATCATTAACTGCCACACTCATAAAAAAAATCAACAATATCTAAATACATATACAGTAGATAGGTATAACAAGGAGTTTTTGTGACCTGCCAAAATCATAAATTTATAGTGTACTCATATTTTTTTTAAATAAAATATGAGTAAAAGTCAGTAATAAATTACCCAGTACACATTTCCATTTTCAGTTGACTAATCTTTTCCAATAATGGTTTTGAATTGAATTGCAAGGCTGTCCTCTTTTTATCCCTGTTTTATCCCACTTAAGTAACAAGACAAAATTCCTGAGACCAGTTCCCATTGAAGACCCCCTCTCTCTGGATTCCCACTCAAAGGTTCATGGACTAATGGAGGTTTGCCTCTCCTCCCTCACACTGCACCCTGGTCTTACCCCTCAAACTAAGGATATTCAAAGCGCCACCTAGTGGCTCTTACATCTCTGCTGTGTGGCGTCCTCAGACTGCAGAGGGGTTTCGTGCGGTTTGTCAGTTTGGTACGTTCCCAGCCAGTGTGATCACAGCAGGGATCGGGACACGCAGGTGTCTGTGTCATACCGAGACAGCACAGACGGGGGCCTGTCTCTCTGTGGCCATCGCCTGGGTTTGCCTCGTGAGGAGTACCGTACGCTGTACTCGCAGGCGCCGCCGAGACTGTGGAACTGCAGATTTAGTGGGAGTGCATTTCAAACTGAGAACAGGAGGCACTTCTTGACCTGAAGGGTGGTGGGTGAGGGTGTGGAGAAGGACGTTCCTGGGTTCTTTCCATGAACAGTGGGATGAGCTCCTCCGGTCAGTTGAGTGCTAACAACCACACATGCTACATGGCCTGCATGGCCTCCATTTGTAACCTTTCTCATGTTTCTGAATCAGAGGTTGACCTACCAAGTACAAACTATGAGCACAACAACTGATGGGATGGTGATAGTTGGTTGTTCTGTAGAGATTTTCCATCCCGAGGAAACCCACTGCGTACTGGGCTTGTATTTTGTATTTTTTAGGTGGATCATATGGTTTTTAGACAAAGTACAGTGCAATTTTAATCCAGGGTAACATACATGTGGGTTTTATTGATATAAATGGAGAAATATAAATATTGTATACATATCACTAAAGTATTATTTATTAATGTTTTAATAGAGGATTCCTCTGCTTTATGTCGATTTTTTTTATAATGGAAAACTCTTGGGATTTGTTCAGGGTAACACTTGATTTTGATTAGAAAAAGGCGTCAATGATTAGAATTTTCTTTTAAGTACATCCAGGCATTTTTTTAAGGAAGACCTTCAATATTAAAAAGGCGAGGAAGCCACTGGGCCCCATCTAGCCCATTTATTTAGGTTCTAGTAATTTATGGATTAGTTAAAACCCATTCATAATAAAATAAGTCCCATTCAGCCCCTTCTTGACAGAATCTGGGGTATCCTCGTTGACGTGTTTTTCTAATTTTAGCAATAATTTAAATAATTATGCTGTGTTTTTTTCCAGAGATCAAAACACATTCATTAGCCACATAGCACACAAGTCAGCGTACTTAGCAGTTGGAATCCCGAGCTCAGACTACGGTTCCCTTGATTGAAAACTACAGGGTCTTCAAGTCATATAGTTTTATTCCAGCAGAGGGCGCACTAAAGCCTGTAGTGAACCCGGAGGAGAGGTAGAAGACGAGCTAGCTAGGTGTAAATAAACTAAACAGCGCTGTGTAAAAGTGTCACTTTTAGGTCTGGTCTATTTTTTCTTGCGCTAGTCCATGTCTCCGTGTTTTCGAGTCTCACTGCATTTTAAATGCACTAGAGTTTGTGACGTTCCGTATTACATTTCTCATAGAATTGGGAATCATGTCAAGGAATCGGAACACAATCTTAAATTGACCGTATTTTTCTTTTTATTGCTGCTGTAATATTTACAGTTTAGAAGTAAATGATTAAATTTACTTTGTCGAGGCTAACATGTCTCCCTTCATTCAAAGAACACTGAAGCAAAGGATCAATTCATTTAAACTAACGAATTTGCAAGGAAGACACATACCAAGAATCAGTGTTCAGAGGTCACGGATGTAAAGGAATAGTATTCTGATAAATTAATATCTTAGTTTAGATGTGACTGCAGAGAAACCACAATCACTGAACCAGTTTTAAGAATCTCTTTATTTTTAGGGGTTTGGGGCAAGTTAGATTACTCACTTACATGGGGACAATTTAGTGGTGCTATTAAATTTGGAAAGCCTGCATTTGGAATGTGGGAGGAAACTAGATCAACTTAAGAAAACCCATGGAAACCTGGAGAGAGCATGCAGACTCCACACAGACGGTGGGTCAGGTTGGAGTTGAACTCGGAGCTCAGTCCTGGTCCTGTAGGGTCATAATACAGTTAATCCACCTTGCAGGACCTCCAATCATCTCTATCACATGGTTTGACTGCAAGCAGCTCTTTAAAAAGAAATTGGGGTAGTTCGGTGGCTCTGTGGCTAAGGATCTGCGCCTGTGGCTGGAAGGTTGCCAGTTTGTATCCTGCGGCCGGCAGAGGAATCCTACTCTGTTGAGCCCCTGAGCAAGGCCCTTCACCCCAACTGCTCCAGGGGCGCTGTATAAATGGCTGACTTTGCGCTCTGATCCCAAGCTTCTCTCCCTGTCTGTGTGTCTCATGGAGAGCAAATTGTGGTATGTGAAAAGACAAATTCCTAATACAGGAAATTGTATATGGCCAATAAAGTAATCTTAATTATTTTCTCATTATCAGAATCAACACGGCAATAGTGCCGATCAGCTGGAAGTTGAATATTCCTGTTCCAATGGCCCACATTTTCTACTGGAAGGGTGTATGGTGCTGGAGACCTCAAACCGCAGGTCAACCCTTAAATGAATAATCTGGAAAAACTCGGAACACCTGAGTTTTGTACAGTTACCATCCCGTAAATTTGATTCAGGTAAATCAGAAATGAGTAACTGCAATCCCTGAGGGTAAAAGGGTATTGGTAATGTCATTTTATGTGATCTCTGAACTGCTGAAATGAACGGATTTCCTGCTCCAGTCACAATTGTTTTAAGGTTTCTAAAAAACTAGGAGCAATCCATAAAACCTACTGGGCAGTGCGTCTCCAGTACCAGAACTGGCCATCCCTGGTCTACTCTGCCTCTCACAAACATGGGCTCTTGTCACAGCTCCTTCTTGTGCTCTGGATGTTCCCACTGCACACTGCACAAGGCCAGATGTGATTAGGTGTAGGGTAATCACTAGTATGAGAAAGAGCTGCTATTGTTTCATTTGATCATGGGTGAGAAGTCTTATTATAAACACCCCCCAGGACTAGAGTACCCTGTGTCTTCCACTGTTTGTTTCAAATGACCTCTTACCCACGATGATAAACTGATATCTCACTTGAACTTCTTGATGGCCGACACCATTTCAGCTTCTTACTGCACTATTTCTACCTGGGTTTCTGAACTGCTTTTCTGTAGGTCTGTCACTGTGAAGAAGCTTCGGGATCATCTGTTCTGTTCAATCTATTCACCCCTCAACCGGCTCGTTAAGTAATTACTGCCAAGCTGCTGCTTCTGTTCTGTCAAGCAACTCTTAATTGGGAAAGACTATCAAAAACTCAACCAGAAAAACAGGTATACGCTGTGCAGTAGTCCAATTACCTTTGTTACCTGGATAGGGGCTGGTGTGAAACTTAGAGATTGATTCGGGGTCTATACTTATTCCTAACTTCATTCAATTCCTTAAAAAAAAACTTAAACAGCTAGAGATCACCTAGCCTAGCCCTTTAAGAACTGAGCTAGAATGACTATTCAGAAGACACAGGAGTACTTCAAGAACTGATTTGAGAACCACTATTTTTGCAAAAACAGCCTGGCAAATCCGGCTCTGTGGGAACACAGCTCAAGTTAAGACTGGGGCACCTTTGATGTGGAGTTTGAATGCTCTCGCCTAGATCACTTGGTTTTCGCTTGGTGCTCCGGTTTCCTCTCAGACACACGATGGCTAAGTTAACTGGTGTCTCTACAACTGCCCGTGTGCCCGTGACTTGCGTCGTCCTGTCGAGATTGCTGTCGCTTGTTTTCTGCACAGGGTGCCGGCCGACTGGACCCCTTCCGAGAGCGAGCGGCTTCCCGACGATGGACGGGGTGGAAAAAGGGAGACTCGGGAGTCCAAAACGAAAACCCGCTCCGTTATCTCCCCGCGCTCATAAAGATTTTTTTTTTCCCTATGAATTGTATACCGAGCGCTTGCATCTTCACATAAGGCGACATTTCACATACTTTAAAGACATCGCTGACTTACAAAACACGCGTCCCCTAAGATAACAGCCGTCTCCCGCACGACGTCGTCTCAGCACAACCTGTCCGTGTCGTGATTGATGACGCCTGGATCTCGGAGCGCTATGCTGGGAACCCGTCTGGTTTTGGGACCATGCGACTAACTTTCGTCATATGACAGAAACCCATAAGAAACCGCTGGAAGGGGGGGGAGAAACGAGCCATTCAATGGAATTACTGTGGGAGGGCAGAGATTTAGCACGGCTCTCGATGACTTAAGGGTCTGAGCTCTTCCGTATATCGCATCCCTCGCTGCGCAGTGTCGGCGGAACCTCTCCCTGTGGATATAATGAGAGGATGGCCGAGAGGCGAGGCGCTGACAAGGAAGGGCTGACCGCGGGTGCGCTTCGGCAGCCGGGCAGTGATGAGCAGACTTCTGGGGATGTAAACATGGAAGGCGGCGATGGTGCCGACGAGCTGTCTCTGGAGGAGATTCTGAAGCTCTACAGCCAGCCGATCAATGAGGAGCAGGCGTGGGCCGTTTGTTACCAGTGCTGCCGGACCCTGGCTCAGGGGTTTCGGGGGAGCAGCGCCGGGGCTCGGGTGGAGGGGCGAGCCTGGAGGATTGAAGGCGCTGCTGATGTCCGAATCTGCAAAGACGGAGCCGTGAGGCTGCACCACAGGCAGGGAGGCTCAGGTAAACCTCTCTTCCTGAGCGTCATCCTTCGTGTTATTGATGTTGTTCAAAACCGTGAGCAAGATAGCTGGGTTGAAGACATACCTCGTCATAGTTACACCTTGGCTGTTACTGTTTAGGTCGGTGCCCGTGAGATGCATTTAATCATCTTCTGTGGTTTGGATTGAGAGGAATATTGTGCATACCGCCACGTTTCTGTACATGAAATCGGATCGTGCAATGATTAGATAATTGCAATGCACTTCGGTGCCTATAACACCCACACCATTCCTTAGATCGGCCCCGAGTTGAATTGAAAGGCTCTCGAAATTTTGAAAATGAATGTATTTCGGGGATACCGCATCGGCTTATAGGTGCAGCCATTGTTCCCGTGCGCCGAAACGGGTTGTTTTAATTATAACAACCGTGCTGAAATTGCTAGGCGCAGCGAGTTCTCACGTGTTGGACCCCGTTTCTGTAGAAGCCGAGAATCAACCGAAATAATTGACTTACACAGTTACGCAACACGAGCAAAGCTGGAGTTGGCCCAAGAGCGGTTCCGGTTGAGGGGGAAAAAAAAGCAAAACCATAGAAACCCCCCCCCCCCTTTTTTATCATGCATGTCATTTCAGCGCCTAAAAATAGAAAGACGCTTTATCCAATTTACACGCCCCTAGAGCCACCGGAGCATTTAGAGATGAGACATTGCAAAATGAAAAGTTTTCGTGTGATTCTCGAAGATGGACTCCGACCAGCTAGTCCCGAACGGGCCGGTTGTGGTGGTGTATGGGTGGCAAAGGTGTCGGTGGCGCTCTGGTCGTAAACAATGGGACCACGTGATCGATCCAGCTGGGGTCACCTCGCACGTTGAGACAAAGGGTCCAATCATCATTGTTCTTCGAGGGTGAGAGTGTAAAGTCGCTGTTACGGTGTTTTTACCGGTGTTAGGTGTATTCTTGGAGTTGAGTTTGCTGTCATGAAGGAAGTATAAAACTCCATTGTCCGCGTTTGTATAGTGTAGCTTTATAAAGACAAGGGGTGCGAGAGTGTGTGTATATATATATTAAAGATTATTGTCCCTTTCGTCAAATTAAATATTTGACACCCATGAGCATTAGGAGCTTTTTCATGAATAAAACCACACGCTTCCCAGGCGTTGTCTTTCGTGTTGAGGTCCCGTATCTCAGTTCAATTAAAATTTCATTACAGTAAAAACATGTCCCGTTCCAACATACTGGGAAAACCATTTAAGTCTGTTGACGGGGATTTAACCATTAATGCTTAAGTATTTCATTAGTTTTGTTTTGGTCTCATTGTTCATTTTCCTTATTATGCCAATCGTATTTCTTGAAGGCGTGAGGCTTACTTGCTTCTAAACGGCCCTATTCATCAGTCATGTATTGTCTGCCGGTATGTAAAAATACCTGACAGTAAAAAAGCTGACAGCAGTATCCCTCCCCATAAAACGTCACGTTATTTGAAGAAAGGAAAAACAAACCTATTATTTACAGAGGTTTCGCATCCCTACGCCCCAGTGTCTTGAAAATTAGCCTCGGGTGTAGTTTTAGGTTTTGAAAGTAGAATATTGATTTGAGCAGATGTCATACCTTGTGATGTTTAAAGCTGTCACGCCTTATTATGTTATAATTGCTGTTGAGCAGGTTTGGCTGATGTCATGTGCAGTAGAAGAAAAACCACAGAATGTGGTAGTTTCTCCCCCAGCCACATTCCGAGACAGTGTTGTGTAAGGAAAATGGTTAAGAGAAATATTTCGGAAAACGGGCAGTCCAGTTTTTTGTTTTACCATCGCGCTATGAGAGAGAGCAGCCATGCCGTATACAGTATGCGCTTGTCAGCTGATGGTGCATACAGGTTTCTGTCTAGCCAGACACAGCTGTTTTTGAATTCTTTTTCTTTGTGCTTTTAGTGCAACACGGATTTAGAATGCAAGTACTACCGATGTAAACCGGTATGAAAACGTGCTGCGAATCATGTGTTAGGTCTGCCTTACCTGCATCTAACAGCCTACTGCATCACCGAGCCACTGATGGACTTCAAGGAAGTGTCATTGCGTACAGCACTTGTATCAGCAGTGATGGTGTTTTTCACAAGCCACAGTAGTCTGCAAAGTTCATGAATACCGGACAGTATTTAAAGATGGAGTTAAGAAGCTGCACGCATGCTTGGACTGCTTGTCTTAATGTGTTTCTCGTGCACTGTAATTGTGCTGTGAACTTCATGTGCATCTGCCTTCCCCTTCAGTGCTCAGCAAAATAAATGACAGTCAGCTTTCTAAGAGCTGGTCCTTGTCAGTGCTTTCTGAGGACACAGGGCTGGACAGTGTTGCTTACTGGCCCTGTTGTTGTTGCGGCTATTCTTGGGCGCAGTGCCAGTCCACTTCAAGCACCTTTTAATTTAATGTGGAATGATGTATTGCTGATTCAATTAATGTAAAAAAAAAGATACTTAGTGGTGCAGTAGACAGTTCATGTTTTAATGCTGCTTAGGAGGCTGACTGGTATCTCATCACTTTCATAATTAACACTTTCATGTCTGGCCAGTGGTGGCTGAGAGTCCAGTTGAATCCTGATAGCTTTGTTTTTGTACGAGTTGAGGCGTTGGGTCTCTGTTCTATGCAAAGCTGTAGGAAATGCACCATTAGTTAGTTTTATCCTAGCACTGATGCGAGGGTTTAACTGTTTCCAACGATGCTTGCTCTCCTTTAGTCCTCTTCTCCTCTCCTCTGAGGGTGATCAGTACCTGCCTTTTACACATTCAAGTGATGATATTAAAGAAGATGGTGCCAAGACGCTATATGCAACTACAGTGCAGTGTGGTTCATACGGTTTATTGCAGTTTCCTTACTGACGAATGGCTGAGCCACTTACATGAAGCTCCACATGTTTCAATGGTAATCAATGTCATGTTGAGACAGAGTTTCTTAAATTCCGATAGTGATTAAGCAGTTGGTTTACTCTATTTTTTAAACATAATTAAGGCTACGAACCATTGGAGGCCAATCAAGCCCAGCTAGCCCATCTGGTAATTAGTAGCTAATTGCACCAATTATCTCATCCAGCCATTTCTTGAAAGAAAGTACAATGTTGACTTCAGAGTCGTGGCTGAGCAGTCAGTTCCATACTCCCACAACCCTTTGTGTAAAGCGATGCCTCCTATTCTTGTTTTTAAATGCACGCCTACACAGTTTCCACTAGTGACCTCTGGAGTGTCAAAATCGAGGAAAAAAAAGTGTAATGAAAATCATGCATTCCATGTGTACGTGAAGATACTGTTGTTGCTTGTTCAAATTCCTCTAGCAAGTTAGTTAAGCAAAGCCTACCTGTTTTTTTAAAAACAAATCTATGTTGAAGGTCCTCTAGGATCCTATTTTTATATGTTTTCATGATCCTGTAATTTAATGCCATTTACTTTTTAGTAACCTTGGATGTAACAGAAGTCCGATTCAGTGGCTAATAATTACCTGGTCCAGTTTTGACATGCCTTTTATGTGTAGATCATACACTAGCGGTTCTCCAGGTCTTGGAGCACGGGTTAAACGATGACGTTGTTCATCATTGCGTTTTCAAAACAGCTCTGCCGTTTCTAGTGTGTTCTCTAAAACGCACGTCTCAGACAGAATTCCTGGAGGGCCAGGTGTCTTCTGGTTGGTGTGCCAACCTCTGTAGTCACATAACCTAATTATTTTCTCATTTAGACACTTATGAGTTTTCAAATGTCTTTTACAGCTGATCGCTTGGAACATTCCCTTTATTATTAAGAGTGTTACTTCTGATCAGGTCCTCGGGTGTTTTATATGCATTAGGTTATGTCGTGAGTTATGGAGTAAATGAAATATTTGCAAACCTATGTGAGTAAGAGCTGCGTGCAGCATTCCCAGGCGATAGCATTCCCAAGGGCAGAGCAGGAGGATCAGGGCTGACCAGAAAGACCTTTTCTTCTTTTGTGGTGTAATCTGGATCTTTGGATTGCATATCAAAATATTTTGTCAGTGAACGTTCTATCAGCTTGAAATAGTCGGTAAGTTAATGTCACTGTATAAAATAATTCAATCACTATAATTTCCGGTAAATTAAGATTACACTCACTTTATTAGCCACATACAATTTCTTGCATTAGGAATTTGTCTTTTCACATACCCCAGCTTGCTCTCCATATGCCAAATGCCGTTAAGACATCCCTGAAGCTATTTACCACCTCCATTAGCCTCCAGTTTGGCATTGACTATATTTTAGAGCAATTAGACACTAACATTAAAAGAGGGGCTGAGGTAGCCCCTTTCGTCTGCTTGCATCACAAAAGACTTACAATTCTAAGAAGAACTATAAATAACAACATTCCAGCGCTTGGAGTAGCTTGGCAATACCCTCGATTTGCCAGAAAATGCGGCCCTGATTTTAGTGTCACCGTAGAGTTTCTCTGTGTCTTTGTTCTGTCCTGGCTGGAGTTAACCTTGTGATGTGTATTTCTGGAAATGAAAGAGGCTTCCAAAGAGGACTGCGGTTCTTCAACAGACGGAGAAACATGCATTGCATGTTAAAGCCAACAGCAACAGGCAATGCAGAAGGATAGTCCAGTGATCACAGACATGGAGTCAATATCTAAGCAACTGAAATGAATGAAGTCAAGATTCCGAGACCCTGGGATAATTTGCACAAAGGAAGATGATTATTTAGTTTGCAAGAAATGCTCAAGGGTACTTTTCTCATCATTTGGTTTGTATAATTAGCAGCTGGTTGTCTGCTCCAGTTCTCGTTGTTTGCTTGAATTTGGCTCTGAAAGTCTAAGAAGAACTTGAATTTGTCTTTCTGTGCTTGTCTGGAGTGGAGGCAAAATCCTAAAATCCATGCATCACCAGTTTGATCCCAGGCTGTTACATGCTGGAATTAGGTGGCCTTGAGTCAGGGGCCCTACAGCTATAATCCTAGCCCTGTGTATCCGATATATAACCCTATTTCTAAGACGAATACCTGCCTGTGTTGTGTGGGATGATTTATATGTAAGACCTCAGACATTCACAAAGAAAAGAAGTGAGTGAATTGTGAATTTATTAACAACATATCAGGAGACACCTTTAAGTTCAGAAGCAGCTAAAACCAATGTCTAGAGTCTGTGTAATAACACATTTGCCTGTGGACTTGGAATTTTCAGGAGTGGTGCACATGACTGGGTTTAAATTTGAAACTTGAAAACATCTGATTTGTAATTTTCTTTTTGCTTCATATTTCGAAGAATATGATTCGGTGCGGAAATAGATGATCAAATTGACAAACTGTGGCATGGCAAATCTATTATGCAAAGAATAAAGTATATAATCTTAAAATACTTTATACTTTACTTCATATGTCTATTATGTAAAGAAGCTCTTTTTACAGAGAAACATAATCAGTTTTGTTACCAAGCTGCTAGGACTGTAGGCTTTAAACCCTATTGGCCTGCATCTGATGTCAAATCATCGCCTTTCTAGACTCCTGTGCTTGTTTTCACAGAACAGCTGGATGGCATGGTGTATAACACGCACTGTGTGAGTGTGTTTGTATGCAATAGAAATAATCACTGTGAGCAGGCTCTTCAGCCAAATTAGTCTGGCTGCAAACGGAGGACTTCCTTTCGACTCAAAGACGGTCTTTCCCGTGGCAGTACTCTCATCAGTCCTTAGAAATCCTTCGAGTTTCTTACATTTTGAGAGTTTAAAGTTTAAGGCTGCCGGTCTGTGAGGTGATAGGATTTTGGGTTCTATCTCTGCAGGTTTGACCTCACTTTTTTTTTTTTACTTCCCAAAGAATGTGCACTACATGAAAGCTGTAACATGATTGAGAGGTTTGCTAAATATGGGGAATTTGGCAGGAATGTAATGACAGAAAGGCACTGTTTTGAGAGCTCGGTTCCCATCTGCAGTGCCTTGTTGCGGTTCTTGCCCTGCTGGTGAAAGTAGAAAATTATAAGATCAGGAGCATTAGAACCTGTCTGGGTGCTCCGCTCTGTTATCAAGTTCTTTTGAAACCTAAGGGGTAGGTACTGTCAACTCATTTCAAATATTTAAAAAATGTAACTTTAGCATTTTCTGTCACCACTGAACATAAACTATGCTGTAGTAATACTATACTAACTGCCAGTAGTTAGTAGCTAATTGTTCTGTGGATTTCCTCTAGCCATGTTGTGAAAGATGGCAGTGTATTGGCTTTGACAGCATGGCTGGGTAGCTAGTTCCAGACTCCCACAACCCTTTTCCTAAACTAGTGCTTCCTGTCTTCCATTGCAAAAGTACTTGCACCTAGTTTCCACTTGTGTCCTCTGGTATGTGTTTCCCTGTGGATCCTGTCCACTGGGTTGGATTCTGACGTCTTGGATCAGGTCACATTGGAGTCTGTGCTGGAGCCAAAAAAAGGTCCTGTTCTTTTATTACTTGACTTAACCTCATTAGCAAACCTCAGGAAGGCAATACTGTTAAAACAGGGGGAAAAGTGGCAGCAGGCTGTGCTCTACAGTTATTGTAAATGATCCACTGAACACTGCTTAATGGCCAGCGGAGTTCTGTTTTGTTTTTAGAAACGTACGAGCAAACGTACTTGGAAACGGAGAGGAGTCGAGAGGTTTGCGGCACATTTAAATAAACCAGCGTCTGTTGTTAATTATGTTGCTGCTGCATTTTTTTTTAAATGGCTTAATTAAAGGGTACTGGTGGTATACCTTTCAGCCATTTGTAGGTTTGTAGAAAGTGCTCGTCTCCTCTCAACAGATGTTTATCAGTGATCCCTGGAGGGAAAAAAACTTCCCAGTGATGATGAGCCCGATATTAACATCATATGCAGTAGCACAAAGGATAGAACACAATGTCTGTGTTCATATACAATATGTACCAAGGTGCACTTGTTTTTATGTTTGGGGGAGGGGGGGCGGGGGGGTTGTTGGGAATGTACAATTATTCACAAATGTGACTCATTGGATTTAAAAAAAAACCTTTTCCGAAAGTTTCTGAAACTCAACAATGCCAACCGTATTTTAAAGCCGTTGGATGCACAGAGCAACTTCATAAATCGGAAATTTAAAACGTGCTGTTAACATGTGGCTGCCAAAAACAACAACAGCAACTTTGTGTGGGATTGCTCAATGTTGACCTTTCCCTCTCGGGTGTCATTGGAGTTGGTTACCGTAGCAACCACAGACATTAAAGGCAGGCTCAATGTGGGAACATTATGTGAAGAAAGTACTTTACGTCTTCTGTTTTTCTGAGTCCGAATGTAGAAAAAAAGTTCAAGCCTCAGGTGCATTTAAAGATGGGGATGAAGAAAATGTGGACACCGAAAGGAGCCTTAAACGGATTAAAGTGCACTAGATGTGTTAGTAATCTTTTCAGGACATAAGAAAAGCCTGAATGCCCCCTGTTTTCATTTCTGTTTCAGTGTTGGAAGGCTATTTTTAAAATCTTTAAATACTAGAAGTCTGACAATTGTATCAATTTCATTTTGTAATATTTATAATTCAGAAATTCATGGCTGGCCTCACATGGCTGTGAGGTACCCAACTTCCTCGACAACCTGGAAGTAAATGAGGTTTAGCTTAGCTCCTGTGCTGTTTCCCCTTCCTCCTCTGGATGTAATTATTTTAATGTCTTTTTTTTTTCTTTTTCTTTCTGCAGGCAAACCTACATCCCCTTGCACAGCATCGGAGGTAAGTGACTCATTCTGTTCTCTTCATCGGATGCGTATAGATTGTGAACGCTTTTCCTGAAGTGTAGCTTTTAATCTCACAGTTTAATGTTAGCTTGATTTTTTTTTTTTAAATCATCTTTAATTTATCAGTCCCACTAAGGCACTTAACATTCATCGTGCAGAACGATGGCACTGACTTCTAAAATACTTGGTTCTGCCTGTCAGGATGTACTGGTTATTTGTAAGTAAGCTGAAATCCTTCTTGCGTGGAAGAAATTGTGAGCCCCCTTTCTTTACAGAGAAGGTTGTGTATTGTGGTGAATACTGGGAAGGAAGAGATTCCCCCCCCCCCCCCCCACCCGATCCATCCATCCATTATCGGAAAACGTCTTATTCACAGGGAGGGTCTGCATTCCAGAGCCTATCCTGGAAACGCAGGGCACCAGGCAGGATCACAGCCTGGGCGAGATGTCCGTTCATCCCCGGAGGCTCACCCACATTTAGAGGTTTTGTTTCCCTCCCAGTAGGTCTTTGGAAAATGGGAGGAAACTCACTGGCACAGAGAAAAGTCACTCTATCCCAACAACATGCAGACTCCACACAGAAGGTGGTCAAAACCTGCACTGCCCTTCATACTCCCAGCTGCCCGTGACTTACTTCTTGTTGTCTGGAAGCGCAATAATTATTTGTGCAGGTCCTGATTACGAACACTCCTTTCTTGCCAGTTATCACCCTTAGGCTGTGATGGTGTAATGCAGGCTAAGTGAAATCATTTTTGTGGAACTCCCTGGCTGTTGCTATGATTTCCCTCCCTGTGAAACCATTAGCAATCCACCACACAGTCACACCCTCCGGGCCAATTCCAGCTCATCCGCACTTACAGTACATCTGTGCACATTTCTTTCCTGTCATGGTCTTGAGCCGTCGTTCCTGTGGGTAGCTTCCATACAAGGAAATCGGGATTTATGGTTAAAAAAAAACAACGAATGGCCACAGGTAACGCAGAATCAAGTCAGACATGCCACTTTCACTACGCTTGTTTGAGCTATTGTATATAATTTCATTGGCCGAATTTTAAAAAGCACCCCTCGAACTGTAATTGGAAACATCATGTTGCAATTTTTTGTGCTGGAACAACCTGTCGGAATGCAGTCTTCAGGGACCTGAAGCGTGCTATATGTAGTTTTCCCTGCGGTGGCTCCGATTACAGATGTTTCCAAAGATTCGTCAGCAAAGGGAATGTCACTCTGCAAGATTACTTCTTTTAACAGATGGAGAGCCAGTCATTCAAGGATGATTACTTTAAATCTTTTCTCTTGTACCCAACCTGGCAGCGCTAGTTTTCAGAGTGACGCTGCAGAATTCTTCGCTGGAGGAGGAGCAGCCTTACCACAGCAAACACACACTCGTATCTGAGCTACTGCCCCCTGCACAGTAGTATGGAGCTGTGTCTGCGTGTGTAGGCTGCAAAGGAAAAGAAAAACGGAGTTTCGGCTGTGGAGCCTACTTCAGGTGTCAATCATTAGAGACACGATTATGGAAATAAATAGAGAAGATGGGGCCGATCTTTCTCTCTTCAGTGTTTTGCTGCAGCCAGGGGACAGTTTATTAGACAATCCCGAGTAGATTCAGTAGGTGTGGCTGTTCCAGATCTCCTTCAAGATCCGATCTTCTTGGATCAATCGGATGCAGTCTGGAGTCGCTTTCCAAAGACCAATCGGGGAGCTGGCACTGGGCGAGCAGATGGGCAAATACAGGAGACGCTTGGTGTGCAGGTCTAGTTTAGAAAGAGAGAGTCACAAACCCGATGAATAAATCCTCACTAAGCTGCTTCAATACTAGAAAATAGGTTTATATATTGCATTCCAATGTGTAGAGTCTCTTGGACTGTTCTGCTTGACATGGAGATGCTCAGGTGACCTAAAACCTTGGTCTCTCTCTGCTAGACAGGGCCAGGTATCTCAAGCACGTGCTGCCCTTAGACAAACTTCATCACTTCCTCTGCTCAGCTTGCTTTAATTGGCCAACGCATGTGAAAAGTAGTTGTGATCTTCAGCCTGAGTGAGTGGGGATTCTAGCAATTCTCAGGCACGAAATGCGGTTTTCGTGTTGATACCCCGGCCCACAGCCACAACGAGAGCTCTGCACTGCTGTACGATGAATGGTGTGAGCATATGATCCATGGAAAGACGTCTGCCCATCAGGATCTGATTTGATTAGTGCCCAGGTGATGTCAGAAAAATGGACATCTTAGATGACACCCGTTTCAATCTTCAGCCTTTTATAGTACAGTAGGTCTGTTAATGAGCAACTGATAAAGCCTCCACTTTTAACAAAGCTTTGCTTCCTTTTAAGTTTTGACAGCTTTATTATGGATTCTCATCTGTTTTGTCTTACCATTTATTATTTGTAAAATAAAACAAGAGTAATATAAGGCCTTGTTGGTAGATACCCTCTTTAGTTGGAGTTGTGTACACTGTTATCCCACAGCTCAGCCCTGTCTGGGGTTTGGTGTTCCCTGGTTCGGCCTTGTTGTGCATTCTTTACAACCTGCCTGAATGCACTGGACTGTTTCCCAGTGGTCACCCCTCCCCCACAGCAAAAGAAAATAAAGGATTAACCCACTGCTGCTTGGCGAGGAATTAAAAGCCAGCTAAATACATCCAAGTGTAGGTTTCTTTGCCAGTGCTTTCTTAATTCATCCCTTTGGTCAGTTGCTGAAGAGGTCAATGGGATCAGTAGAATGACTTCAGGTGACCCATGAATGACTAAGCAGACCTTAGTATGAACTAGTTTCTAGAAGCAAAGGCCCTACGTTGTGCTTTTCAAATTAGAAAGTAATTCATAATATTTAAAAACCAAGAACCCATTTAATATTTTCGTAAGGTTTCATTTAACCATTTAATTTTAAAAATCCCCCAAAGACAACTTCTGGAAAATGTTTTGCGCCGTTTTGTAATTATAATATGCTGTTGCTTCATTCAGAACAAGATGCTTTTTTTTTAAAGTTCATAACACAATGCAATGCCGTGCAATCAAATCTAACAGTTTAGTTAGAATAGCAAGTTTTCTACACCAAATTAAAGGGGTAACATTTCAAATGAATTGAAAAAACAAATACCTTTTATCATGTTTGGTATCTACATAGTGTGTAGAGGCAGTTTCCAGTAGTCTTACATTCTAACATTTATTCGTGTAATTTCTGAATCATAATTTTGGGTGTTACAAAAGTAAAGGTTTGTATTCAAAAACGTAGTGTACTAAAAAAGCAAAAGCTTCACCCAATGTCTGCTAAAGACCCAAGCAGTTTTCTACCCTTTATCAAGATGTCGGGGCACGGTTCTTCATTTTATACGCTAAGCTAAATGTTGACTTTGTACCATGGTCATGATTTGTGTTTCTTTGGAAATAGGTATTCTCTTGATGAAACGGAAGAAGACCGCTCTCCCAGTGCTGAATGAAATAGGACAGTGCTTGTCAGAAGGTTTCTGAGCCAAGGGGAGGGTTATTGTTAGAGGACAGAGGAATTGTTTGTCTGGTCCTGCTGGGTCTTGGAACACCTGCTCTTTGGATGGATGTGAGCTGGGATGAGATTGTGGCACACAGTTGCCGTGGCTTCTTGGTTAATAGTAAATTTGAGAGGAAAATGTGGGCTGGGGGAGGCGGTTTGTTCAGAAACCTCTAGATCTCATTGCCTTCATTTAAAATTAGAAGCACGTTAGTGGTACAAAATGTAACCAAACTCTTTGCTTAGCTGCAGGATAGCCTTTAATAAATTACATTTGGAAGCAGAGTTAAGGAAATGCATTGCCAGTCCTCACAAGACAGCCACACCTCATTCCAGTTCTGCTGTTTCTGCTACTGCCAAGCAGTCGCTTTTATACGGAGTTTTCAGGTGCCTTAAACATCCTGGTCTTTAAAAGAAATAGGCAGCGATTAAAGATGTCAGAGTGAAAATGATTCCATGAAAGTTAGGAATTGGAAGTTTACCCTTCGATCACCCAAGACGATCTGCTTTGTGAGTTAGCAGTCATGAGTTGGAAAAACTACTGTAAATACATTTTCAGTGCTCAGCTGGTGTAAGAGGTCAAAAACCAGATGGAGGGTTTGTGCTTGCTGTGCTTTGCAACTCTCTTCCCAACCGTTTGGTTTCCCCCTAGAAGAAAACCGTTGTTTTTATGATGATGTTTTGAAATGTGGGTTCGGAGGAGATTGCTTCAAAGCAAGAACAGCAGCCGCTTGTTCCTACAGAAGCCCGAGATCTGCCTCGTGTTTCGTGCCCTGAAGGAATTCTCTGTGGTTATGTAAGTTCGGAGGCTCTTGCAGTTTCCTGTGCACTGGGAATATGTGCTGAGCGTGGGAGTGTTAAGGGTGCTCATTTGTCCTACCCCATGAGAAATATTGCCTGCCTGTTAAGTGTAGTTTATGCTTCCTGCAGAACATTAAATAAATATTCATTGTCTTAATTGCAAGCAGTAAATTGGAGCCTCACCTTTATTCTCTGCGAAACAGGATAATTACATGGAGCAGTGCTTCAGGGACTCGTTGTTTTAGTCATGTAGGACTTGCAGAGTACATTACAGTTTAACACAGGGGTGCGAAGAACAGTACAGTTTCTGGAAGTAGTGGTTGTTCTCTTGGGATGTGGGGGTCTGGAACAAGCTACCCAGCCCCGCTGTTAAAGCCGAGACGCCATATTTTTTCACGAACCACCTCCGTGAGATTGTGCAGTGGAAGGGCCTCTTTTTTTTTTACGCAAATAGTTGTCGGAGTATGGAGCAAGCTACCTAGCCATGTTATCGAAATCGATATGCTGGTTTATTTCAAGAAGTGGCTGGAGGAGATCCTTGAATCCAATAGCTATTAACTAACCGATGGGCCGAATGACCTTGTTTCACTTGTAACTGTTCTTCTGTCCTCCCAAAGTCTCGATTAAAAACCAAAGCTTTTATGAACTGTCCTTTACAAATGCTGGCATACCGTTGCGCTTTGACATGGATGTTGTGCCTTTGCCTTATG